TAATAAGAAATATTAAATCCTATGTCTCAAGAAGTCTTCATTGACAAAAAAATATGCAAATGCATTGATACGATACTCTTGGTGATTGTTTCAACTCATACAAAGATTCTTTCAACTTGAAATTAAGGTGCTCCTTATATACTTGTACAAATCCTTAGAGCAAGTCTATATAAATGTCTACTTTTAATTTTTTTATTCTAAAAGGTTGTTTTTACATCAATATATTTCAAAGTCTATTGTTACTCTAAATACAACAATAGTTCTAATAGTAGTGAATTTGATAATATATGCATATGTTTCATTGAAATTAATGCTCTTGACTTTGTAAATATAATTTGACAATTAATATTGCATTGTGTCTTAATATCACATCTATTGCATCTCCCTTAGTCCTAAACATCTACATACATCTAACATTAAATTGATTTGCTAAAAGAAATGTCAATTTCAATATACCATTGTCTATAAAAGTTTGATACTCTTTTTATGTGGCCTTTTTCTACTTGATTGTAATTTAAGAATTTAAAGCATCATACAAAGACAAAAAATTAATAAAATAAAATAAAAAATTATACATTCTTTACTTACTTGAAAAAATATGTGATTCATCTACCATTTATTTTATTTTATTTTTTAATTTTTTTCTTATAATTTTTTTTTATTGATAGATTAGTCTTCTTAGGCCATATTATCTCCAAGAAGTCTCTTCTTTTTCATATCTCCTATTATTTGAAAGTTGAACTCTAGATGCTACATCTTTTTTGATTTTTAATTCTTTCTTGCTAGTCTTTTAGATAAATGAAGCATTATTCTTAGAATTTTTAGGTTCTTCGTCTAATGTAGTTGTATCTTATATATGTATATATATATATATATATATATATATATATATGTATTTCATATTTTATATATTTTTTACTTTCTAATTTTTTTTTAAGGTTTGTTCAAAATTTTATATTTATTCTTACTTAGACATATCTTGAAGTACTTACATACAATCTTATATTCTAAAAATTCAAAATCACAACTTTTAATGATCTTCTTGCTATGCAAATACATTAGCCTATATCTTGCGGAATTTTCACAATAACTCTACAAGACACACTTTGTATCATTTTCTTCAAATTTTAATCTTATACAATTTGATATCTCACATATGTAATGTATCCAAAAGTCTTCATATATGAAATACAATATTATCTCCCACTTTAAGCTTGTCATATTATTGTTAATGCAAAATCACTTATTATACACCTATTCCTTGTATAAACAACATTTGTAATTTTTTTGATCTAAATCTCACAATTAAGATATCAAGTTTGAAGCATAATTCTTATCATTTCTATAATGATACAATTTACTCTTTTACCAATACGATTATGTTGTAGAATATATAGAATTGATCTACATCTAAAAATCTCTTTATTCTTAAAATAAAAATTAAAAGTTTTAGATATGTATTCATCTTAAATTTTTATATACAAAACCTTGAATTTAGATTCACAATTAACTTTTAGAACATAGATTCAAATCTTTTTTGATTAATTACTATTGAAAGTAAGGAAATATATTCTTCCTACTATGAATATAGATTTCATAGCACCACAAACATCAAAATACATAATTTTTAATATTTTGGTAGTAAATGTTAATAATTACTTTAATTTTTAATAGTTTGGTAGAAAATATGGACTTTTTTTTATTTTTCTTATATATGTATTTCAAATACTAGATTCATTGTACTTTGGCACATTTTTTCAAGATCCAAGCCACTTACAATAGATTCAATCTCCTTCACGCTCTTCTCATTTAATTAGCTAAAAAGACATTGCTATATATTAAATTTGTCTTAGTTTTATGTTGATTTTGTAAATGTAACTACTTTCACTTTATTCATCATCTTTTAATTAAGTTAGAATAAATCTCTCTATCTTAAAGCTTATAGTAACCATGCCTTTACTCAAGATTTTGACAAAACATCCATTCATATTGAATTAAACCATAAAACCTCCTATCACAAGTTTATTTATTAGAATAAGCTTTGCCTTTGTCTTGGACACATATAAATTATCTTTAAATCTAATCTTATTTATTTTTTCTTGTAAAATTATTTTAATTTTAATGAAACCAATTTTAATAGCTAGATATATGCCACTATCTTTCATAAAGATATTTGATATTACAATGGTTTCATAAAAGTCAAATAAACATTAATAAGGAGCCATATATGGCAATAATGCCAAAAGTTTTCTTTTTAGGAAAATTATATTTTTTCTTTATTCTAAAATCATATTTTTTTGATGGAACATCATGAATTTTAATAATTATGCTCTATGGATATAAATAAACCAATAAGAGCTCTATTTTGACCTTCCAATGGTAAAAATCCTTACCTCTAAATTTCTCCATGTTTTTCAAACCTTCACCCTAAATTGAAGTAATATAAAAAAATGAAAGCACTAATTAAATAACAAGAAGAGTGAAATGATTTTTAATTTTAAAAATATCATTGCATTAAGCATTTTATTTATTAAGTAGCCAAAACTCATTTTGTAATACAAAGTCTAAATATGTAAATATTTTTATTTTATTTTAAGTATTTAAAATTCTATTGATGTTTAAAACAAATATATCAATCATGCTATACGTAAAAAAAAGAATTTTTATGTAAGATCAATAATAGGTTGTATTATATACAAACATTTAAAAAAAAATTTAAAAATTTTATGTACATATTATTTTAAGTATTTTTAATACTATAGAACATGTATATATATATACACACACACACATCATAAATAATAAATTATTTGAGGTATATTTTTTTAAAATTGTAAAAAAAAAATATTGAATATAATGTGATTTATTTATTTTTTAATATTTCAAATTATATTTGATAATTTCTTAATATTAATACTGTATTATTTTAAAGTTTTTTTATTAATTTTATTATATATATATATTTTGGAAGTAGATTATGATAAGCTTGTTAAATTTTATTCTTTGTAAAAATATAATACTAATATCAATAACTAATTATTCCTTCATATCCTATAGCTTTGCCAATTGTTTAAAAAACACTTTCAAATTTTCAGTTTTAATACCCAAATTAGATGATTAGTTTTCAATTAGCTTACTAGTGGATTGTTAGGAAATTCATTATCACCAAATAGGTTGTGAAGGAATAATTAGTTATCGTAACTAAAAATCCTATACAATGAGGATTTTTTTAATAAATGACATTCTAGTAGGTAAGATGTTGCCAATCAAGAAAGGTTGGAAAATTGTTGAATAAAAAATATCTTTTCTTTAACAAAAAGTCTTTGTATTTACTTAAGTTTTCGTTATTGTCTAGGGAAGTTTATATTATGGTCTATGTTTAGTTGGTTGGCATCCTTACAGAAGATAACAGTTGCAGTAATTCTTAAGAAAACAAGATTGCCAAATTGAGAGAGAGAGAGGTCATCTTATTCATGTCATATTAGAGATAAGTTACTAATTGGAGTTAATATATGTTAGGTCCATCAAAGAGTGAGCACATCTTATTTTGGAAAGTCAATTATGATAGATCCAATTGGTATTTTGAAACACAAAAAGTGTTTGGCAAAATTAGTATTTGCCAAACTTTATTTGCAATTTAAACACTAATTGCTGAAAAATGGTACTCAATGCAAGAAGACAAAATTCCTAAGCTATAGTTAACACCAATTGATATGAGCAATAGGTTTTGAATTTAAAACACAAATTGCCAACTTCAAATTCATAGTTTAAATTGAGCTTATTCTTGATTTTTTGTATAGCAATCTATTTCTTTGTCTTTGAACCTTGCAAAAAAATTGGCTAAACCAAGTTGGTGAAAAAAGTTAATTCAATAATGTTCAATGTGTAAGAACTATTTGCAATATAGCTCACGTGTTTTCTTATTCTTATAATTGTTACTTTTTCTACCAAGAATTTGTGTTTTTTTTCTTATACATTGCATTTCTCTACTCTACACAAATAATTTATATATCACATTTTTATTTGTGATTATTTTTTTTAGAATTTTTCTTCTTTTATTCTTTAACAAAAAGAGTGCTATGATTATCATTATTATTATTATCATTTTTATCATCCTAATTTAAAATAGAAGTTATATTTTTACACATATTAATGATATTTTGTTTTTATTTTTATTTTTGAAATTTTATAAAAATATAGATAATTTGTAATTTTGATTATCATATTTCTTTCTAATATATATATATATATATATATATAATATCTTTGTTTAAAATGATAAAAAAATTGTAATTTTTTATTCTTTCTTTGATTTATTGATTTATTTATTTTAATTTGATGGTTTGGAACATATAGTTTTAAAATAATCTGTCAATTGTGCTTGCGATCAAATGGTAACCAATCACATACCAAAAAATGTTACAATATAATTTAGCAATAACATTGTATAATATAGCAATATAATTTTTTTTGTATATATGAACACCAAAAATTACATTCATTGTGTCATGTTATTGAATTTTTTATTAAATATATTAATGCTTTCTTTTGACAATTAGTTATATATAGAAATTAAATTTTTTCTAAACAAATATGTACGATCAATATTTGAAGCCTTTGAATTCTAGAGCTTGATCAGCATTTTATACACCACATTTAAGAACAATACTGGTACTTTTACATGACATTGCTCACAAAGTTACTTCAAATATCATTAAAAATTAGCATTCTTTGACAATCTCACATCAGAATTTATTATAACAAATATTTCCATCAGTCATCTATAAATAAACAACTAATTAAAAAATTCAGAAGAAATTGATCTTATTTGCTGATCTTGGACAATACATCAAGTATGGACTTTGAAGATCTTTTCATCGACATGTTACAACCATCAAAATTAAAATTTTAACAATCCTAGAAAAATTAGACAACTAATTTCATGAACTTGAATTTCAACCTTAAATCAATTTGCATAAAACAGACTGCTCACTGTAATCTGATATTGGAGTAGCTTTTTGTGTGAGATAAGTACTTATGTTTATAAAGTACAAGCCAAGTCATTAAATGGATTATTGGGCGTTGCTTGCTAGAAATCACATGCTCTTGATATTGGGTTTGTTAAATCCCACAAACTCCAATTGATCATTTGGAGTTGCGAGGGGGAAGTTGACTCAAAAAACTCTTCATTGCTACAGCTCTATACATGTGAAATGCTCACACTCATCTTGCGCAATCCAACCAGGATACAAGTCTAGTATAACTTATTCTGCGCGTGAATACAAACTGTTTGAATGAGGTTCAGTTCTGCATACCAAACTAGCTTGAGAGAGATGATTTTGAAATTGATCTGCATGGTTTTTTAATACAGAAAGATGTTGATGCAAATCTTGCAGCCGCAGTTCCGTCATGGCGATCTCTTCCTTAATGTAACGCACCCTTCTTTCCATCCACCCAAGCGTTTCATCCATTTCAGATCGCCCCCAACAACTCCCCGGGTTGATACCGTCGCTGACATGGTGTGCAATCGGCGCAGGTTTAATGCTTGGAGGCCAAATGAGTGTGACAATCATTCCAATCTGTCAAAACCACGCAAAAAACTGGATCAGACTACTATTTCCAATAACCGAGCCAACTCAAATGAAAATTTATGTCGCTATGTGCCGTTGATCACCAGGAAGTGGCATCAAATTCGAAAACAGTAAGAAGAAGCAGTGCGAGCTGCCTAGCAAAGAGCTTTGAAAAACAACAATTGGATATTGGACCAATCTCATATTTTAAGCCCTAATAATTTAATCTCAGGGACAGCACCTGCATAGAAAAAATAAGCACCGCGGCTAAGATGAACAAAACCAGTTTGATATGTTTTCTCCGATCTGAGGCAGCCAACATCTGCCACCCCCTTTGAGATATTTCAAGGGCATTCTGTATAGCAGAAGATGCTTTCATTGTCCACTTGAGCTGACTCCGCCAATCCAGCTCCTCCTGACTATCCGAGATGCGGTTGGCAGAACAGGTGTGTAGACTATCAGCATCATGTAGTTCCTGGTATGTTTCCGAGGGTCCATTAGCACGCTCCAAGGGTTCGTCGCTCCGGGAGCATTCCGCGGCAGGCACCTCATGCCCTGTGGCATGCAAACAATGTGAACGAAACAAGAAACCAATTATTTGTTTGTACCATTTCAGGAAATGGTATAAGAAGCTTGATGACCAAGCCCTTGCTAAAGGATCAAGAAGTAACTCCAACAGCTACTTCTGAGGCACTATGGAAAGCAAATACCTGTGATGGAATCTGTGGAATCAATACCTTGAAGATGCTTGGAAGTTGAAGACTTCATACCCCCTACAACGTCTCGCGCCTGACAGATATTGTTCGCAAATCATACATCAGGACAGTTTGAAATCAATTAAGCTTGTGCATTGAGTGGCAAAGTTCGTTTGAGGATCAACGAGGGAGATCATTGCATACCAGTTGAATCCACGTGGTGTATGCCTCCTTACTTTCATCGTAAGTTCCTTGCTCTATTTTGCCTGGCATCAAGCATAACAACTACCAGTCTCAAATGGGCTATAAGACATCAATTACACAATCTTCCACGTCCAATTGACATACAAAAGATTTTTAAAATAAAAAAAATAAAACCACAAATATTTTTAAGCTTAATCCAGCGTAAGACCCAATGATTCGTACCTACATGAGAGTTACGCAAGCGTTAGGCAGGAATAAGTGAAATTGGACAGCACTTACTTTTCCACATTGTCTTTTTAGAGAAAGTGACGTCGAGTGACACTCGAACTAAACTATGGAATTGTCCATTGTCAATAAACCGCTCCACATCCCACCTCACCTGCACTTACAAGAAAGCTAACCATGTTTAAGCTTCAATCATCACCCACGCTCAGATGAATGACTGCAACTTGTTCTGGATCATATTTCATCTCGATAACCAACTCCCTTCTCATGTCGCCCTTAAATGCACTGTGATAAAACATTAAAATAAACATCTCAACCACTTCGCTGTTCGAGTGCCAAGAATTGATTATTCTCTTTAGTCCCTTTAGGCTTTTTTAGGCTTCTTCAAACTTGAATTTGAGATTGTTCGCAACTCCAACATCATTATCGTACCCAAAACGCTCTTAAGATATACCTCTACTTTAAAATAGTCACCATAGGGTATGTCAGTCATCTGTTGTGAAGTCTCTAGAACCAGGTGACTGCCACACACACAACCAACACAGGATAGAGCATGAGAGAAGCTCCATACTTTCGGAACTTTAAAAAAGGCCTACGTCGGGCCTGCTCACAACAGACATCAAATATGACGGCCATTGGCAATAAAGGACAATTTGAACAAGCCATAAAGAACAGAGGGGAATAAAGAGGGTGCACAATACTTATTTCGATATACTCGAAAGCGCTGTGCTTCGTGACAATAAGTAGATTTTGGCCCTGCAAGCCCACCAAAGAGCAACTTTCTGTGATCAGTTCTGGAAACTTCCCAGCAGATGACTGAGACTTACAAATTAGATCAAGCAAAATGTAGATATAGCAATTAACCCATCTATGTACTTAAGTTTTTGAAGCACGACGTACCAAAATAAAAATTGATCGGATGTCGGAACGAGATGTCCCGTGCATGTCCAAAATGTCTATGCTTGGCCCACTGCGTACACCGAAAATCTGGAAACATAAAAAATCAGAGTTACTGTTGAACCGAAATCGTAATACTGGTTTGCAAAAGCCGATTCTAATGCCAAAGCAAGATAAATTTAAAATAGGTAAATTCAACGATAATTTCAAGTGACCACTTTTCGCATTCTGCCAAGTCCATTCTGTCGCCCCTGCCAGAGGTAATGTATTTGCACAACTTAAAACCAAGGGAGAGGACACACCATCATCACCACATTTGGTATGGAAGTCCTTTGCAAATCCTATGCCTTCATCTGAGAAGAATAGTTGAAAGAATTCCTCTACATCCACCTGAGCATGAAAGAAAGAAATATGAATACAAATACCAAAGCTTAACAAGTATCAGTAAACTATCCGACTCCAATCGACTCAAAGAGACAATGCATTCCTCACGAAAACAACAAAGGTTTCAGAAAAATGAAAGGGGGATATGCGAGAAGTAAGAAGCTAACATACCGGAAATTCAGATTCCACGACAGTTTTGTAACTATCTTTCACTGCATTTCTCCAACGTTGGATAAGGCAATTAAATGTATGTAAAAGCGGGAAGTGAGCAATGTATTTGCATTAGTCTTTAAGACACATTTTACTGCAAGATAGTAGTGACATAAGCTCAACCACATCAACCCTGCGTAGATACATTCATGAAAGTCAAAAGACTCCAAACGCTTCCACAATTTCCAACAACACTTATGAAGTTAATAATGCTAAGATTAAGGAGGACCATCTAGGAATGGGGAGCAACAAAACCCCCTCAATACAACAAAAGAACTTGACTACTTGCTCGAAATTAATTCATTCAAGACATAGAGCAAGAATTAAATCAACTGCAGTAGAGCTAATAATTCTAAAGTTGGCAATTGATAGCTTATCAAATGATGTAAGGTGACAAAGCCATAAAAGATAAAGAATGTCAGATTTTATACATGGTGGAGCTTCGCTATCGTCCACTTCCCAGACCGGAGATTGCTGCAGGCCAACACTGCCAGAACTGCTGGTGGTCCCCTCATCTTCAAGCAAATGATGCCCCTCGTCCTGCTCATTCATTGCGTTTGAAGGACCATGATCTATTATCTCCGCAGATGCAGCTATGTTTGCAGCCATCTCATTCACCCTGAACACACCCTCAAATTAGCATTCAGAGAATCTGTTGCTAAAGTAAACACAGAAGAGAAAACGAAAGCGTAAGGTTTAAGAGAAACTATAGATTGATGCCAGCTTGGTTTGACATTATTGCATCAAATGGAATATGTCAAGGCATCTAGAAATGCACAAGGACACAAGTAATGCACCTGCTCTCGTAGTTTCCTCCTACATCAATCCTCGTAATCAACAAAGGACTTTGCAAGGCATTTTGAGAAGCAGCTCCCCTTTCTGCTCCAGACGTCCTCACTTGTGGACTCTGCTCCCAAAAAAAAATCCATAAAATTTCTGCATTTCAACAGAAGCAATGCCGACATCTTTTTATCGACCGAAATTAACTTGGCAACATGCATTGTCTAGTAGGCTGGTCTTTGTACAATCAAACGTATAATAGTCCGACCACGTTACCGTTGCAAGTGTAGCCAGAGACCCTTGCGAATCGAGAAACAGCTTCGCATAGCTGCTATGCTGGACCCAGCCATCAATGATCAAGCGGAAAGCTTCATCACGAGAGAGAAAGGATGCAAAAAAGTGCTGCAAAAGGCAAAAACAAAACGATTACACTCTTCCAACATACAGCACTTGGAATTTCAGTATCGCCGCAAAGGATCTACAGCAGAGGACTCTTGACATCGTAAGGCGTGCAATGTAGAGATCGTGATATCAATAGAAACGACTTAAGGAACATGTATACACAACCATGCATAAACACTACAAAAAAAGGCACCATGGGTATGTGAATCAGTTGAAAGAGCATGAAGGGCATGAAGCAAGTAAAAATCTGACACAAAAATGACGTAGCCCCGTGTCCAGCTTAACCAATCAGTTGCACAATAGTACCTTTTTACCCCATGAGACTATCTCAATCGCATTAGGGAAGACGCTGACTGTCCTAGCCTTTCGCACACAAGTTACATCTTTGAGCGGAATTACTTTCTGTCACATGGAAGTTTGAGTTATTTTCAAAGAGAACCGGACAAGAGTTATAGAGCATCCGAATTCTTCCAATAAAGCTGTCAGGAAACAATAGAAAGTATTAACTCGATAAAAAGTCAAGTGAACCACTGAATGGTATCATCAGCAACAAGGTGAGTTCAGATAAGCTACATACCTTCTTTTCATAACCAAGAATGTTAGAGTAAAAGCACACGTAATGTTCAAAGAGGTACATATGACCCTGTTCATGAACAACCCCATCAATTTGCATAAGAACTATGAACTATGAACCTTCAAAACAATAATGCCCAGGCAACAAGAAAATGACAAAATCCCCACGTCCAGAAATTCACCCAGGCTATGTCACAATAAAAAATTAAAATCTTGATATCTTGAACTCCTGCCCGAGTTTCTTGTAAGCAGAACAAAACTATAGGGTATGCCGTGGTGCCCGTTGTGACTCTATGAAGATCATGACGGTTGAACTGTTAGACGCTCAGAAAGTACAAACCTGTAGTAGTATTTTCTTCTGAAGCGCACAATTGAAGTCCGCAATCAACAACTGTAAAACATGATTAAGCAAATGTGTCATTTATCCTTCGTTCTCGTCATTGTGTAGCACAGCTGCAAACATGCAGATGCAAGCATTTTATTTGAATTTTAATTTCCCAATTAAAACCCTGTGTGCAAAAACAGAAGGTGAGACTTGGATTAACGAACCTCTTCGGCAGGTAAATAAAACAATTTCCGATACTCCTCGCTCTTCAGGGTTTTCTGTTAACCACGCAATTTAATTAAGAAAACAACTAGAAACTTGCACCCCACCGTCAAAAAGACACGCAAATGAAAACTAGAAGGGAGAACTACAGATAAACATGGGAAACACGGGAATTAAAAGGCCTCAACCTTTGGTTAGGAGTTCTAAAGACATCTCTCCTCCCGTCATCGAAATCCAGTCAACCGACATGAAGCTGGAAATTTCCCGATCCGAAAACCCTAAACCTTGTCCTGAACTCACGCAAGACTAAATACGCAACACGCAAGGACCCATCCTGAATGTAATCCCGACCACGACGTACAGGATAGAAATCGCTGCACAAAGCCATGGGAAAAGGAGACTGTTTTCGAAATTCCAACACTCAAGCCGAATGGAATCGAAAGTCCATGAAACCAGACGTGAAATCGGCTTCCCTCCACGTCGAATAGTAATACTCTACAATTGCAACAGGAATTGGAACGGGTTCCCAGATACAATATGTAATTCGCTTATTGTAAACCTGATTAAACCCTCATAGACCAATAATCATCGTCACAATTCGCCATCTAAATGCACCAAAACCTCAAACATCAAGCTAACAGCTTCTACCACCCAACCGATCACTTAATTATGCTCCCTCCCCGACTGACAACCAAGATCACAGGCACGATTCTTCCGGGGCGTCGTCAGCAAACGACAACATCTCAGTGACCCAAGTACCGAAATCACTCAGAATGCAAAATTCTCGCAAAGTGACGCGAATCGCTTCAAAATCGAAGCATCCGCGAGCACCGATGAGGGCATCGGAAAGTGAAATAACAGAATGACCTGCCTGCAAAGCAACCTCATCTTCCAACAGCTGAGCGCCGTCCTTGGTGGTGGCCATGGCATGCAGACCCGTAATTGGGTATTCAAGGTTTGGGGATGATGTGAAAGCCCACTTTGCACAAGATTCGGCGTGCGCCAAGATACAAGATAAATAAGAGGAAAGATGGGCCTGCGTCGTCTTCGATGTTGTCGTCGTCGTCGTCGTCGTCGTCGTCACTCGGCGATGCGACCTTGTCGTGCCAAAACCCACTCTTCGTTCTACCAACACACTCTCTCTTATAATCCCCTTTCGCGCACTCCACGACTGGGGCCCAATCTCTCTGGCCGAGCCCCGCCGCGGTTCCCACGTCCCTGATCACGTTCTAGAGTTTTCGCTCCCGCTCCCGTGTTCCCATCCACGTTCAAGAGTTCTTCGTAATGTTCTCCACAGCTAGCAGCTTCACCTTCAAATCATAGTTCTATCTAATATATTCAAATCTTTGACAATTTTTTTGTGGTTAATATTAGAAACCAAGGGATTATAAATATTGGATTGATTAAAATTTTAAATTTTATGATATATTATAAGTTATAATGATAACTAATAAATATATATATATAAAAATAAAAGATAATAATATAAGGGATTTGTTAAAGCCGCACCTCCCAAACCATGTGATGATTAATTTTGGAGGATAGGGAACAAGAGACATTTATAGGGAACAAGGCACAAGGGTTCGGAATGAGAGATGGGGATTGGAAACGAGGACATAGATAAAGATGGATGGAATTGAGTATGAGATGGTAATATGAGGTGTGGCTTTAACAACTCCCTAATTTGATTAAAATTAAAATTAAAATTTTATAAAACATAATAAAACATATATATGTAGTTATGTTTATTAAAAATATATATATAATAATAATAAAATTTATCATTATAATTTTTGAATGAAATATTATTTATAAGTATATATACATATGTATTTTAATTTATTTTACTTATAAATTTGTCTTTTGATACTATTAAATATTATTTTAAAAATTAATCTTGCAAGATAATAATTTTATATAAATAAAATATAGAATTTATTTGGATAAAGATAGGAATATATATATATATATATATATATAATTTTATTTTTGAAAATAGTGCATAACTTTATATTCAAGAAAATTTAATATCTATATTTTTTTATAATCTTATTGATTCTTTACTAAATACTTTGGTAATTTATTTATTTATATTTTATTTCTAAATCTAAAATTATTTTTTTTTAGCTTTAAATCTTTTTAAAAAAACTTTGTTGTATAGAACTTAAAACGAAGTTACTTTAGAGGTGTCTTGTCTTGTTATTGATCTTAATATAAACAGAAAAAAAAAAAAAAAAAAAAAAAAAAAACATGAATTTTCATTTTTATTTTTAATGTAAGCGTGCATTTACATTAAATTGATATCATAAGGTTTCAAACTTCATAAACATTCTTATGTAATAATTTCTATTTTTTGTAATAATTTAAGTTAATATAAAATAATAATTTAAAAATAAAATATTATTTAATATAATTTAAAATAAAATAAGTTCATATTCTTATGCTTCATGTTGTATAAATAAAAATCGTCATACATTATATACTGAGTACTAGAAATTATTATTAAGTATGTCTTTTAAATCAAATGAGAAATTATAATAAATATTTTCAAGAAAAGATGAAAAAACATAAATACAACTTAATCAAGCTATCTTCTACACTATAAAGAAGGAAGCTAAAAGTGCAAGTATATAAAAAAAATTCTAAACTTTTATTCAATGGCTAAATCACCATAACTTAACAAAATTTTATAACCATAAGCTTTATCTCTTAGAAATACTCACAAGACTTATCATAATAAAAATGCCAAGTCAAAGGGGCTTTTCCACCTAATTTCTCAAAATTTAGTTGATACTAACAATGTCAACTAATATATAATGCTAAGTAGATAAAAATCCACTAAATTATATTAGATTATATCTATCTAATGTGATTTTGTACCTAATGCCATATCACATAATAATTGTTGTATAAAATAAGATTGTCATATATAATTATATAAAGAAGTGAAAAAAATATCATTAAATTTCCAATCCAAATAAAATAAAAATACACAACAAACATGCTTTAAAGTGCCCTCTTTTCCTCTCTCTCTCCCTTCTCCTTCCTCCCTCTTCCATTCTTAATTAATTAAGAGTCCTACCAATTAACAAAGATAAGAAGACATACATAATTGAAGATGAATGCTATAATGATGTTACTACAAAACTATATGCATTCAAGTTCTTGCCATAGTAGCTAGACTACTATAATATGTGACAAAAACAATAAAACGAATTTTTAACCATTGTCAATAGATGAGATATAAGTAAAAGACTTTCTAGAACAATAACAAATTCAATCTCTTAAAGAAAGAATTGAAAGAAGTGGTGTTAAGTATGCCATATGATATGTATATTGATATGAGTTATATATAATAGCATAGTAGAAGCTCTTTTCTTCTCACCAAATACAAAATAAAATAAGCTATCTAGCATAATTATTGATTTATGATATATAAAATTATCAATAAAAAAAAATAACAAGAAACGTAATTTTTTGGATGCTTTCAACACTTATGTTTGTTTTTGTCATTAAGTAATAATATATCATTTGGAAACACATTCTTGACACAAAAAATTATATGCCTTATCTTAATATCTAATATTATAGGCATCTTTTATTACAAATACACATAATACTCTTTAAAAAATCTTTGTAATTGAGGTCAATAAGTTGTGCTACTCTCACAAATATATACCTATTCGTTACCTAGATAGATAGAATTAGATAAAAGTAGATTAATTTCATAATACCTTCTAGAGAAGCTTCTTAGAAGCTTTTTAGATATTGTTTTGACTTTACATATACTTATAGTTAATTGATAGGTTAGAAACTTGGTCAACAAGCTATCTATGTGCATCATATATTGATAGCTTATGGAACAAGCTAACTATGTAGTCACCATATAAAAAACTTGTCTTGCAAGTCAAGATACGTGTCATATAAAGTCAACATATTTTTAGAGATCTTATAGAACGTCGCCACATAGATCCTAGATAGATAGTATATATAGAGGCAAGAGTGAAGCCTTCTTTATTCTTGTCAACTCATTTCTTGTTTCTATTTTAGATTCAAGAGTCTTTAGTTTCCTTGTCTTTTGGCAATAGCCATTTCAGTTTCATTTTAATATACATACTACTTTATTTCTATTTTGTCACTTTTTTTTTTGACATAGATTTCTCAGATTTATGCATCTTCTTTTAATTCATGTCCTTGATTATTACAAATATAAGCATATTATGAAATAATTCAATATTAAAAAATAGCTATTTTTTTTATAGACATGGATATAGTCTTCTTAAAGAAAATTATTCAATCACATAGAAATTGAGCTTAAATATCACAATCATCTAAGTCCTCAATTGAGGCAAGCTTTTCATATACTATGCTTAATAGAATTGACTTTGGTCTATATGACAATGTAATAAGATGCCAAAACAACTTATTAAGAAAAGTAATAATTTATTACAATTTATGCAACATCAAGTTCTAATCATATTGGTTTCTATAAAATAATCTATAATTTTATAATCTATGCTTGACAATTTAACCAATGAATTTAGTAAAGCCATCTACTTCAAGATAATTCCTAAAAGTGGTGTAATAATCTATCAAAGCTTTAGTATACAAAGCCTTAAAAGCTTCAAAACATTCTCTCTCTTGATCTATTAAGACTTCCAAAAATGCTAGAAAATGTACCAACATATGATCAAAAAAAGCTATAGCTACCAACTTTGAAGAGTTTTGTAGCAAAGATATAAATTCAATTTATTTACTAAAATGCTCCACCATCACTAATATGCATTTAGCTCTACATGGAATAACAAAAAATAATTCATCAAAGTCTAAAGACCAATATTAGTCCAAATCTATGATATATAAAGGATTCAATTGAAATAATAAAGTCTTAAAACTTGACCTGATTTGATCATATTTTATACTAAAAAATATATGTAGCAACTTATTAATATATTTTAGTCGACCAATCTTAATTATACATATATAGAATATATCTTATACATTCCAAAATGTCTAAGCACCTCATGTACTTTTTGCATCAAGAAAAATTTCTAATTTGGATTTCAAACTATATGCCTAGCTCCATCAAATTACATACAAAATAAAAATTTATTCTTCTAACAAAACCTTTTTACTTTGTGATTAATCCTATCATATTCTATGGCAAAGATAGCTAAAAAAAAATGTCTTTTTTTTAAGCTTGTATAAGACCACAAGGTCCTTTCACATATTACTAACTACATAGATTCTATTAGATTTTTTATCTAAGTATTAATTAGGTACCACCTATGTAGAGTCTAATATCAAAGTAAGATATACTATTGCATTTCATCTAAAAATTAATTTTCTATTGCAATTTCCATGCCACCTAGCTCTAATTGTATCTTTTTTTAAAAAAAATAGATAACAAAAAAATTTATTTTCATCCAAATTGGTAGTGCTTTTTCAATGCACAAACTCAAATTCATACTCTCAAAGAAAAAAAATCTATCTAACAAGCTTACAAGTAAGTTTGTCTAATTTTATTAGTCACTTTTAAGATTATTAGTCAATTACCAGTGTGATAGAATTGATTCTTGTTATTTTTATCAACTCCTCAAGATATCATCTTTACCCTATCTTCAATAAGTAATAGTAATTAGTCATAATAAGATTGCAAGTCCAACCTTCTACTATCTACTTAGTGCTACCAACCTTCTATTATCACACTATATAACAATTCTATCTGCTACACCATAAAGTTAAAGAAGAAAGAACATTCTTGTTTAATAAAAGATAAAAAAAACTTAAATGCAACTTAGTCAAGTTATCACTCATATTAAGACTTGATTTGACACTCTTTTCAAGTGAAGATGGTTTTTTCATCTAAATTCTCAAAGCTTAATTGATACTAACAATGTCAACTAATATATAATGTTAAGTTGATGAAAATCCAATAAACTAAAGTAGAATACATCTATCTAATGTTGTTTGGCATCTAATACCCCATCACATGACATTTATGTTATCAACTTAGATTTCAATAAATATTTATTTTATAATCATTTCATAATTTATTTTATATATAATATTTATTTGAATATTTTAAAATATTATTGATAAAAAATTTATTTCAATAAATAAATTATTATAGTTATAATATTTTTTTAAATAATATAAAAATATAAGATATATAAATTAAAATATCATCTATAGATTTAATTAATTTTTTATATCAAATTAATGAATATTAATACTTAAAGATTTACAATACCTTACAATCTATATTATAAAAATTTCATACTTAGAGAGATATATATTTTATTAATAATTTTCTTATTAGAGATTTTTGTTACTTTTATGTAGGTTTAGATTTGAATCTCATATAAGATATAATTTTAAAACAATTGATAGATTGACCAGGTTTTTTATGGAATTGATTGTTGCATTTTATCAAGAGCATATCTATACATGTGTATGAGTTCAACCACCTTAAAAGGTACAAAGAACAAGTCAAAAAGTCTACTATTAATGTCTAATTTTTCAAAATAGATGATGTTATTGTTTTCTAACTAATTCAAGAGAGCTTTCCAAAGAACTATGTCTTTTAATTCTTCTTATTATAGGACATCTCAAAAGTCTTTATGTCCCTCCTAATGCATCTGTTGTCTAAGTTCAATTGCATCATCCTAGTATGAAAAATTTAGGGAGAGGCATCAACATCAAATAAGTTGTGATCTATATTAATTTTGTTGGTTGTTAAAGACCTTACTAATTGATAGACTCTTGCATCACTTGTTGGATTTTGATTTTAGTTTGTATTGACCACATAAGACATCTATATCTTGTTCTTTTTTTCTAATATATATTGTAGTTTGATTTGGAAGAAACACCCTTGTTCTCTAGACATAGTGACTTGCCTTGTATCATTTTTAGTATCCTTACCTTAATGAATGCAACAAAAAAAAAAAAAAAAAAAAATATACATAAGTTTTATATTGAAGAATATTTGGTTGTACAATTATTGAAGCATAAATCCATGATAAAAGATAAAATCTTTTAATTTGGTATCTTGTTCTTCTAATGTCACATAGATTTATAAAAATTATTATTAAGCAATAGTTTTGGATACCTACAAAAAGAAAATTAAATAAATAAAACAACATTGTAAGAAGAAGAAGAAGAAGAAAAAGAAGAAAAAGAAAAATAAGAAAAAAAAACAAAAACAAAAACAAAACAAAACAAAACCTTTGAATCCACGAACTTAATCTACACTAAATTGACATTCTTTGTATAGAAACAATTGTAAAAATAATCCGCAAGATCAATATAAGATTCTAAACCAAAACTAATGTGTAAGAACTATAAGATCAATACCTTAGTCTTCTAATCTACCACTCATCACTCAAAAGATCAAAAAACCAATTTTCAAATGTATCACTCTGAATTGCATTTTGTCTAGTGAAGCCATAAGCAATGTACCACTGCTCTCCTTTCTGTTGGTCACTATTGTACTTTCAAACAACTACTTCTATGAACATGTATTTTACAACAACTTGCATTGTATATAATTTGGAAATTATTTATTGACAATAGATCATTGAACACCAATATCTACTCACTTCTAGCAACAAAATAAGTCAAAATTTTAATTAAAAAAGAAAAAATTAAGTTGGTGTGGTGGTTGTCTTGTATAGTAAGTTGCCATTATGATTAAAATAATAAATTTTTTTTTTTAGTGAAAGAAAGAGAAAAAAGATGGATTTTGAGATTATTTATTTTAATCTTTTTTTATTTTTTAAATTTTGATTTTAATCGTTTTTATTCTTGGTGATGCTCTAGGAGCTTGAAAAATACAAATAATGGAGGTCTTATCTAGAAGGAAAAAGAAAGAAAAAAAAAAGACCAAGCTTCTTCCTTGTTAGACACATGTAGTTAGATAAGATGTAGATTGAATTAATATGGAGAACCAAACAAAACATGGATCTTAATTATAAAAATCTTAAATTTTTTTTAGTTTTTTAGTTTTTTTTTTTTTTAGTTTTTTTTTTTTTTTTGATAAAATTCATTAAAACTTGGTTGAATGTATTATAAAATCCCTATATCTAAACCAACGCCAATCACCAAATCCAAACAATTCCTTAAAAATTCTAGTTAACCTATTAATTTCCTAATTTTTAGTTAAAAATTTAATTCTTAATTTAGATATAAAGTTAGATTTTATATATAGATATGCATTAAGATATTAAAAACATTATTTTTAATAGAAATTCTGATTATTTATATAAGTAAAATATAAAATATAAAAAAGAAATAAACACCAAATTAAATTTAGATAAATTTGAAATAGATTACAATGGTATATTACATAGATATAATAATAACTTAAATCCTACTAATATCAAATGATATATATTACTTTAAAATTATTAAATTTTAATAAAAAATATTTTGGAAAATTTAGTGTTATTGATTAATTATAAAATCTTATATTTATTTGTAGAGTAGCTGCAATATGTTATTTATTTACCATATAACATGCCTTTAAGGAAGGAAAACCATTTATTTATATAAATTTTACATATTAAAAAATATATAATTTGATTTTTAGAAACTGATTTCAATGTAAGACTATAAATATAAAAAATTATATTGTTACAAGACTTGTGTTGGCAAATTTCAAGTGCTTCTTATCTTATGTCATTGTTTGTACTAAAACAACCAAGTCCTACATGAACTTTTAGACAAAATTCTAAGAACTATAAAATATTTAGAAGTCCAATTTTTTTTGTAAAATCTTCCAAAAATCTATAAAAGTTCCAAATAATAGTGGATTTCTATAAAAGCTTGTAAAAAATCATGAAATATCCTCAAAATCTTTTAGAATACCACAAAATATTTCAAATCTTTAGAAAAGATTATAAAAGATTCCTAAGAATATTTTAAGGTGTACTTTGTTGAATGTCCTTGACACTCCAACCAAATACAAATTTAAATCAAAGCACTATCTATAGTTAGACTAAGGTATAGGTTTAGATGAATATTGAAATACAAACCTAATTTTAGACTTGAATTTGGACAACAACTAATTTGAATGCCTCAAGCATGAATCCTAACCCAACAAAAAAACAACAACAACAAACAAACAAAACAAAAGAAAAAGAACTCCATGGAAAGAGAGACAAAGAAACATCAAATCCGAACTCTCTAAAGTAAGAAAAATTAAAGACAAAAAAAAATAGGCTATAACAGTAAAGGAGAAGGTTACTATTTGGTGTAAAGGATAAAAGGGGGGGGGGTGAAGAGATAGGTTTTCTTCTGAAATGGCTCTCGAGACGCCGCGCATGCATGCGATTCTGGGTGGCCCTCTGTGTGTATGTCTGTCTGTCTGTCTGACCTTGTTTTCACAAATGGAAAAGAAAGGTGAGTAGGGAGCGAGAGAGAGGGAAGGAATCATAGACAGATCTAGGCTATATATACCGTATGTACACTGCTGCATGCTTCAGGGGAGCGGCATCTCAGCCAATGTGGACGATAATGCCAATGCATCAGTGAAAGGTGCTCCTTATCCGGAGCAGTGTCGCCTGCGCCTTCCACTTGGATCAAGGAACTTGCAAACCTACTCCCCTCTCTGACCTCCTCCTCTTAACCCCCATTATCCCCGCTGGAAGAGGAAGAGCAGGAGCACTAGGACCAGGATAAGGCTCCCTGCTGCTATTGCCAATCCTCCACACCCCATCTACCACCCCTGGCTCTTCCCAACGCTGTCTTTCGTTGCTTCCTGGCACTCTAATCTTTGAGAGGATTCATTTTCGGTGAGTTTTCCTCTCCACATTGCGGTCTTGCTTGATCTCCCGTCAGAAAGATGCTGACTTGGGATTTGGGTTTGGGTTTGCCAAGTGGGAGGTTTGGTGGGTCTGAGAAGGAACGTGGGCTGGTTTCCTGGATTGACACTTGGGTCGCTGTGTTAGCTAGCTGCAAGTGGATGGCTATCTAGCTCTTGTGCGTCCCTGTCGGATCCGCGATTCTGTGTCTAGGGTTCCATTGCTTTTATTTTTTTGGCGAAGTGAGGAGGAGGTTTTGAACGAGATGGTGATAGTGCCTGCTACTGTGGTGAATGCGTTGTCTGGGTCTCGATGGTCGAGATCGGTGGTTTGGGCATTTGGGTCGTCCCGCAATTTAGATTCATGCTCAATTTGCACCGTAAGATCTGAGATTTTGGATATGGTAGCTTGTATGGGAGCGTATATCGTCGGAAGGTAGTTGAGGATGGATCCCAGACGCGGTAGCAGACATTATGCGATAAAAGTCGAGTCTAAGAATGTGTTGAGGTTTCTACAAGACTTAATTAGGAGAACTGGTTGATGAATCAGGGTGACTTTGTGAAGTCAGTCTGGCTACACAACAAATAGTAGCAGTAATGGCAGCGACGGCGATGGCCATGTCCACGCTCTCTACATCTCTCGTCGCTCCCACTGTGGCCGCGTCACAGTCCGCCTTCCAGGGTGCATCTGTGCGTATCAACCACATGCCTGCTTTGGGTATTGTCAAGAGCCGCCCCCTCACCATTGTGGCAGCTACCAAGAAAGCCGTGGCTGTGCTCAAGGGCAATGCCAGTGTTGAGGGCGTTGTAACTCTTCTCCAGGAGGATGATGGTGAATATTTCGAATCTGTCTTGAGCCATTTAATCGTTAATTTTTTTTACCCTTTATGGCTTAGATAGCCACTGTTACATTTAATTCAAGAGTTTGCAATGTTAACAAAATTGTGTCTGATACAAGGTGTAATCATCTACTATAGTCACAATGTAGCTGGTGCGTATGCAACCACAGGAAATTGAGTGAGAAAGGATCTCCAATCCTTTGATTGGCAGTATAGGTGAAATAGTGCTCCAGCAATGGGCGATGTTTGATTTAACATTTCATCACACTTCCGTGAACACTAATAATCGGAATCGTTCATGCAGGTCCCACAAAGGTCAATGTAAAGATCACTGGCTTGACTCCCGGCAAGCATGGATTCCATCTCGTACGTCTCCTTTCTCTGTAGGCTTGTTTGCACTGGGGTGTTTCCACTGTACCGCATGCTTCATAGAATCATTTCAGAGTGCACTCCTTGCGTTGGCGTAAATTTTTATAATTTCGGAGACCGGTTTCAGTAGAGTGGGCATAGTTTGACATGAACAAAATCTGTAGAGATGGTTGGCATAATCACTGTGCAATAGTTTTCCTTGCGAAGAGAGCGTCAGCTAGGCGGAATCTGATGAGGTCTATGATTTTGTCTTGATGTAGCATGAGTTTGGTGACACAACCAATGGCTGCATGTCTACTGGTGAGTTTACAAATGCTATTCGTGTTCTGTACATCTTAATTGGAATATCAGGACTCTTGATTTTGGTGGATATTGTTACTTCTAGTAGATTTTTTCGTTTAAAAATTCTTCGAATTCAAAATCTGCACTTTGTGCAAAATTGCTACCAAGTGTAAGAGTCCTCTTATTGGAGAGTCATTAGTAGGAATCTTACGAATTTTCATACGTAAAAAAGAGAAATTAGTCTGACTCTAGTCGGAATCTGTTGCGTAGAGAAGTCCTCTACATCTGATTTCGGGGCATATCCTTGCAGGTCCTCACTTTAACCCTGAGGGCAAGACTCACGGTGCCCCAGAAGACGATAATCGACATGCAGGAGACTTGGGCAACGTTATTGCTGGCAATGATGGTGAATTTCCAACTAAATTTGATTGTGGCATTAGCTGCTATAGACTCTGTTTGTTCTATTAAAACCTGAAGTGTGGATGTTGGTAGGTAAATCATCCACTGTCGTTGATTTCCTTACTTTTGGCCCGATTACAGGCGTCGTGGAGGTCACACTTGAGGACTCCCAGATTCCTCTATCCGGTCCACACTCCGTAGTTGGAAGGGCGTTCGTCATCCACGAAGCTGAAGACGATCTTGGAAAGGGTTAGTGGACATAAATCCAGCACTGCACTGCACTTTTGCCAATCAATAATATTAAAACCCACATTGTATGCATCTTAGAAAGATAGCAAAACCCATTACATGCGGCATAAGTTTCAAGCCTTACAGTACAAAGGCTAACAAATGTGTACCTTACAGGTGGCCACGAGCTCAGCTCTACAACCGGCAACGCAGGAGGACGACTTGCTTGCGGTAACACTTCCATGACCTCTGACAGTCTTCACTACCTTTATCACAAGCTAAATGTCATCTTTAGTTTTTAATTTTTTCTGAATCTTTTTTAGAGTTTAGGAATCTTGAGGTGGCGAAGTTGAGGGCAATAGGAAGGTGAGATAGCCAGAGTTTTCAATGTGCTCGACACCGATGAAAATATCTGAGCCTTTAATTCGTGATGATGTGTGCAGGTGTTGTGGGTCTAACACCTCTGTAATTGCTTAAGCCTGTTGTATACTAGGCTATGTTCAAAATGAAGCTTTTTTCTTTGTGGGAAGGGAGCCGCATCGTCGAACTTCCTGCACATTGTGGACAGTCTCGTGTGGAGTAAATAACGTCCACCTTTTTATCGGGATTTCTTAGTCTCGGGTATATATCCTTACTGTCTAGACAGCTAGGTGAGGGAGTTGCGGTGGACCTGCCTTGTGCTGTACTCTCAACGTGAACGTCAATATCATTCATTATCTCTCGGGGCAAATTGGCAGTGAATCTGTGAATGAAACGCTCAACCTGCGATGCCCTTATTCCTTTCTTGTATGTTTACTTGGAAGCATATTGGTCAGCGTTTTGTGCAAAGAGTTGCCATGAGTTTGGCCACGAAGTAAGAGGGTATGCTCACTGTGAAGGTCTTTTAATTAATTGTTCTTTCCATGCGTATGTGTTGTCAAACCTAAACTCTTAACGTGGAAGTTGAGTGTCAAACTGCCAGAGAATACAATAAAGAAAAATAAAATAAAATGTAGATGTCGATGTTGGATGCCCCTGGTGAAAAACTATTTAGAAATGTTTTACTCAGATAAGTTTTTTGAATTGAAATCTTCCAGAGTTAAAACTAACGTCAAGACTGAGCTACTTTTGCCTCTAATGTCTCTAATAGATGTAAAAAAAACCACCAATTAGTAGCCTTGGGAATTGCTTTATGACATCTCTGAATGCAAAGTTTATTTAACATGACATTTTAATCTCAATAAATTATATATATATATATATATATATAATTATTAAGGTGCTAATTTTTTTATTAAATTGTGCAAAGAAGTAATAGTAAATCTTGAATTTATTAATAAATTAAAGCCTAGAATAAATAATAATCATCATTACATCTTAAAAATAATCATCATATCTAAAAATATATATTTAATCTAAGAGTAAATTGGAAGTTTAACTACAATAAATTGGTTGGTCTTTCATAAGAAAGAAAAATAAATAAATGAATAAATAATAAAAAATTAAAGATTTTATTTATTTATTTTAATTGATTACATATATATATATATATATAGATAGGGAATGTTAAATAGACCAATGCTTTTACTAAATGAACCTACCTTTGATGAAGAATATAGTAATGACGATGATTTTGGTTGGTTTTTATTGGCTGTAGATCTAATAGTAGAAAATAAATTTTGAGATCATTATTTTTTTTCATGATGGTTAAGATGGATGGATCAATTTAGTAAAAACTTGGGTCTATTTAACATTCTCCCTAATATATGTATATTGTATTGTTGAGATAAAATAGTATTAAAAAATATTAATATACAACATTTAAAAAAAAAAGCAATGATTGCCTTGAATTCTTAGAATAATTTCTTCCAACCACAAAATCTTATCCAACTTGATTAACTTGTCTTATTAAAACTTTAAATTATATAAGTTGTTTTCAAAAATTAATTTGAGAGATACATAATAGAATGCTTCATAAATTTATTCAATGATTTTGTAAAAATATTAGAATAAATTTATATTTCTTAATTTTAAAAAGTCATAAAATGACTTATGTTAAAATGAAAAAAATTATCTTAAAATCAACTTATTCAACTCAACATTTATGATAAGAATTAAAAAAAATTAATTATATGATTATGATTTTTGATAAAATCACTCTTTGTAATTCTAACTAACATTTCTATTAAGAATTTGATTATTTTTCTTTAGAAGATATAAAGATTTGTAAATCATTCACATATTAACTCGTTTTTTTTTACTTTCTTTGCATTACATTTGTTTCAAAGCAATGGAAAGAACATGTTTGTAATATTTGTAATTAATGGCTTAAGAAAGAAGATTTTCTTAAAAAATAAGCTATAAATTTCTATAAAATTTATTATTAGTACTTTAAGCACTCTCTAAGTCTATAATATTATTTCTCTAATAATCTGTAATTATGTAACTTTGTAAATCAACCTTAAAATCTTCTTATTTTACTTTAAATTGTAGAGTGTAATAGATAGTTTAAATCATGAGTTTAGCTTTAATAATATTGTGACTTAAAGAACTTAGAAATTTCAAGATACTAAGATAGAATCTAGTGTTTTATTTTATTGTGGTAAAAATAAATTAATTCTTTTAGAAATTCTTACTATTTTTGATGAAATATAAAAATCCATCAAGTTGTATATTTAAGAAATCTGCACCACAATTAAAGAATGCAAAGGACGATTCTTTGATACACAATGCCAAGTAGAGAAAAACATACATGCTAGCCTAGATATAAAGCCAAAAATTTATATCTACCACTAGTAAGCACATTAATGGTGTACATTATGGGTCATTATGGATATTTTGCCCTTGGTAGAGCCATAGAGCATGAATTGCAACAAGCCACTAGCTTGAAGTACATATGAGATTGAATGGCGCACATTATGCGCTATGACAGGCATGTCACCCTTGGTGGAATTGTAGGGGCTTGAATCGTGGCAAGCCACTTGCTTGGGGGCATGTGGGAATACTTAGGACAATCACCATAAGCTTAGCACCAAAGTAGAGGGAGTCATATTTCCTAATTCAGATCCAAAAATTAGAAACCTAAATCTATTATTAGAAAATTATCAAAGGCCACATGTTGGAGAAGGAAATAATAGCTTATGTTTCCTTTGTGAGCTTGGTATTGCTTCAAAAAACTACACATAAGCATGCTGTTATATCTAGAGCTAGGTGTTGTATAGCCAAGTGGACTACATTTCCATTGAAGCAAAATCCACCTCCATCTTGGTTGTCATAGAAGAATGCCAAAGCCTCTAAGATTTATTTTGTAACTACCTCAAGTTAGTATACCATACATCCCCTAAGCATAAATCAATTGAAGTAACAAAAAGAAGGCAATGCATTTGCTAGTTGAGCTTCTTGCAACAACCAAAGATGATCACATTGTGTTCTACTACCACCAAAGTGATCTTCTTCATACCTCAATTGCAGAAGCAAAGATCCATCCTATGAGCATTTGATCAAACTCAATACAACTGCTTAGCATATTGAGCATTTAACTGGCAGCAAGGTGCACAACTTCTATTTGAAGGAATCAAGTGAGATTTACTTCTCTAATTCTTGACACCACAACGACAAGAACATGGAAGTCAAGGCAAGCTACAACAAATGAAAGAGAACAATACAATTATCAATTAACTAAGAAGTCGCTTAAGCTTACACAACATATAATAGAGTAGAAGCTACTAAAACTTCCACAATAGAAAATGGAGTGAGAAGAGAAAGCATTTGCCAAAGTTGACTGCCACCATCAATAGTGCTCTTGGTTGAGTATGTTGCTGACTTTTATTCAGTGGTGGTATAAGTCACTCAACTCATTACTTGATAAGGTGGCATAGCTTCACTTGTATTTATGAAACTACTTCCTACAATCTCACAATAACATGCTATTAATATTTACAAGACTAAATCTACTTATTGAAGTGTCTTTCTCATTAAAAAATAATAATTATAATTCCCATTTGTAATAAGCCTCCTAAATCTATGAAGTGTTGAAAAAAGACAAACAATCAAATTTGCACTTAGCTAGCCAAATGAGTATTACTTCTTACTATTACAAGGGATAATACAAATTTGTTTAATGTAAGAAACAGATGCGTTTTGGCCATGATTTGAAGTTTCATACAAACAGCCCCACTTCTTTTACTACCTTGTTTTCCTTTTGTCATATGGTTACTTCTGCATCTATAAGTAGCTTATTTTTTCTTAACTTTTGAGCAATGCAACGTAAGTCCTACCACAAAAATTCTAAAGTGTGATGGTATTTATTTTGAACATTCGTTTTTATTGAAAAACCTCGCCCATTTTATGAAAAATTTCATTGATTGAACAGAGTTTGGGTAATTGAATGGTAGGGAACATAGGATGCATCACAATGTATGCCAACAAAACTTATATTAACACTGAAATTATATTATTAAATTAATAACAATGGTATCTAGCAATCGAAGTGCTTTGCAATGCACTGCGATTTTAGCCACAGAAGTGGTGAGAGATATCAACTAAATGTGTGAGAGCAGTCAATAATTTGGATGTATATTAAACTCACACGTCAAGTTCCGATAGCTTCAGGTGAACTAATCTACGATGCACTGTGGCGTTTCTTCTTTTTTAAATATTATGTCAAAATTTGTTTCTCGTCTCTAAATTAACTTACAGGCGTTACATCCTAGCCTGATTCCGTTAGACACTTGCGCTTATCAGGTTTATTATCAGTTCTACTCAACCAAAGTAGGCGGAATTACCCATGGAGAAACCACTTACATACAGCATGTTTAGGCAGATCAAAAGCAGAAGTTAAGCGTCAAAGAAAAATCCTGGATCTTCTGAGCTTGTTACTTATCTAAAATAAAGAATAATGCTCCATCGATATATCATGCTTAAAAAAGTGAAGATAACTTTCGAGCGCAGAGAGGCACCTTCCATTCGATACACAAACGGTAGACATGCTATCTGACACAGATGCCACTAGTGGCATAAATTCGACAAATGATACAAAGATTACATACCCTAGAAATAACAAAACACCTGCAAAGACCTTCAAAAGAAAGGCCACAATCTGATAGCCTACTCCTAAGATCGCATCGTTCTCTAGGTCATCGCTCCAGGGAGGACACTGTAGACAAGTTTCCTGCTGATTGAGTCCCCCTTTTTGGACTAGCGTCAATGCGACCTACGTTCATAACAGTACAGCGAGCACAGGTGAATAGAAACCCTTAAAGCATATTGCACTTCTTTCGCATACAATTATCTTGCTTCGATGCAAGTATCAGGAGAAGTAGCGCTATATTTAGTGACATCGACAAAAAAAAGGACATGATTAACATGGCGGAACCGAAGTCAATGCAAGCGAAGACTTCTGCTCTGTACACTTCTAGACACAATCCGCTCATGCCACACATTCATGACTAAGAATGACGGACCGGGCCTCAAACGCATGAAAACTGCACGAAGGGCTCCCCTGGGTAACACTCATCTATCTCGCTCAATTCCCGAGACACTGCTAACTTCAATCCCAGGAGACGGTCTCACGTCATTCTCTATCCATCTTGACCCACCATAGAAGTGACGAAAATTATATCAGAGATCAAATGTGGCATCACTCTGCTGCAACAAGTTGAGGGGCATAGAGTAAGTACCTCAGTACACCTCGACGTGCCACTGCTTGTTCTTCTTCAGCTTAGCGAGCTTCTCTTCCCAATTCTCACCCCGAGCCTCTGCGACTCTCTTCAAGGTGTCCTGGATTCCGGGCATCATGCCCCTCAGACCGCAGAAGTAGATGTGCGCGCCCTTGTCCAGCAAATTGAACAGCTCCTCGCTGTACTCCTCGATCTTGTCCTGCACGTACATCTTTCCTCCCTTGCTGTTCTTCTCCTCACGGCTCAGCGCAGTGTCGTACCTGAAGTTCTCTGGGAAGGCCTCCTTGTACTTGGTGAACTCGTCGTGGTACAGAAGACTGTCCGAGTTCGCCACACCCAGGAACAGCCACGCAAGCCCGCCGAATTTGAACGTCGGCACGTCCTCCATGAACATACGCCTCAAAAATCCTCTGTAGGGGGCAATCCCGGTACCGGTGGCAACCATAATGTGGGTCGCGTTAGGGTCCGACTCGGGCAACAACATTACCTTTCCAGATGGTCCGGTGATCTGCACCTTGTCGCCGGGCTTGCAGTCGCACAAGAAGTTGCTGCAAATTCCCTTCTTGGCAGGGTCCTCGGCCTGCAATTCTGGGCACCAATACACAGCCCTGCGCACGCAAAGGCTGGCGGTCTTGCCGTCGAATTCATCACCGTACCTAGTTGATGCGATGGAGTATAACCGCACGGTGTTGGGCTGGCCGGGCTTCTTGGGGTTCTCGCCGGGGGGGATGATCCCGTAACTCTGCCCCTCCCAGTAGGGCATCTGGCCGCCGTGGTCGATCACGATGTGGCATGTCTCACCGGTGGCGTTGGGGCCAACAATGCGCTCCACGGACTTGACAGTGCCGATGAATGGCTCCTTGTTCTTAAACAAATGCATCGGAGGCTCGGGCTCGCCCTCGAGGTCGGCGGTCAAGGCCACCTTACTGGCTTGCTCGGTGAGAGCAGCAGTGAAAACACGGCGCTGCGAGAAAGCAGCGCGATGGGAGCTGGAGGAGCGGCATTGCAAAGCGGGGAGGCGGAGGCCGGAGAAGAAGACGGAGGTGTCGGAGGAGGAGGAGGAGGGGGCAGAGACGGCACGACTGACTGCTACGTGAGCAGCAGAGGAGGCCTGGAGGCATGCAGCAGCGTGCGCCATTGTGGCAGAGAGGATGGTTGTTGATGCCCCCGCGGCAACAATGCTAAGCAGCAGCGACGGAGGAGCACCAGCAGGGAGGAGAGGGGAATGGAATGGTGAAGCGCAGGGGTGGCGAAGGGGGTGCGGGAGTAGTAGGCGATGGGGAATAGGCTACTTTGAGAGATGGTGTGGACACAACGATACGCCCTGCTCTTGCAAGTGACGCTGATATGTGGCGCAGAGAACGATAGCCTCATCTCCTCCTTCCACCACTAGTCTCTGGACTCTTCTCCGCTCCTCTCCTGTCTCTTGCTCTCCCTCTCTCTCGCCTCACCTCGCTTCCCCTGCCCCTACCATTCGGCGCTTCCCCACCTCCCCTTTTACTTTTGTCTCCTGAGTTGGAAGTCATGGATGCTTTCATGCGCTTGTTGATGGGTGCCCCCACAACCCATTGCTGCAGCATTGCTTTGAAACTCCACCCTGCCATCCGAGCCCCCACTGTGCTCCATTCCAGCACCCAGGCTGTGTCCCCAAACAGTTCCCCAGGATTCCAAAAAGTTAACGTTGTTGCACACAATCTTAAAAGCAGGTTATGTTAACATACTCATAAGCTTGAAAAGATGGCGTGTTTTAAAAGAACATTAACAAAAATCGAATTTTGTACATGGGAAGAATCAACTGTAAAATATTAGAAGTATGGATTCACTGAAGTTACTTTCCCCAATTGAAAGGATGCGTCTGTAAATCCTCATTTATCTATAAATCATCTTCAAACAACCACATTGGGCCTTTCAAAATCTTTCTTAAAGAATACCAAAAAATCTATGAAGTGATCAAGATAAGCTTTAAGTATACTTTCGGGACTCCCTTTGATGAGGCATGACAAACCCACTTTGATTGTGCAATGTCCACCCTTGAAGAATGGGACAATGCTATCACAACCCATGTTCCTTGCAATGCAAAAGACTTGCACTATAGAGCACCCACAACCTTGGAGTAATGTGCTGGGATGAGTAAAACAGGACTAGAGAATAAGAAATTACTTTAAGTTTCATCTTGAGAATATTCTTAAACAGTACATTATTCTAGAGTGCTACAACGCAGCCTAAAGTTCTTTTTGGATTCCTTTGTAGTGCCAAGACTCTAGGATTATCCACAACACCACCTCAATCTATCAAGTTATTGAAACAAGGGCGACCTTCTTTCATACAAACATATATAAACAACTCACATATATATATATATATATATATATATATAAATAAAAGTATCCACTTGTGCAGTAACATTTGGTACTTCAGTATCATTTTTCTTTTAAGAATAAGTTTTTCTAATTAAATGCCTATAGCTTTGTATTGGATATATATATATAAGCAAAATATTAGTGAACTTCATTATGACTTATTCCAAGAATTATAAACAAAAAATAAAATAAAATAAATTTGAAGATGTAGACTATTTAGCCTTTATTTTTTATTTTTTTTTACACTTAATTCTTTAAGACCCATAATTTTTACCTGGGTTTCTTAATGGAAATAATACTTAGTATTACAGATTGCAAAGATTATACACTCTTCAATTTTTTCAATTTTTTCATTTTTACATTATGAGGTCCCACTTCTTGGTGTTATGTGTCTCCCTTATTGTTCAATATTAGCCACATGTAAAATAAAAATAAAAATAAAGAAAAAAAAAGAAAAGAGAGATGGGCAAGAACTCATGAAATCTTTGTATCTTTAAAATAATTTTGTATTCAATCTTGATGATACTTTGTTAATGCAAGCTTTTGCTTCTATTGATTGCAATAGGATAAGGATCAATGTTAAAAATAAAAAAAATTAACTTTTTAAAAACATTCCTACATTAACCATATAAAGTCATTTAATACAAATGATAAGAATTAATATGTTTTTTTGTGTTATGGTATTAAATAATTCTTGGTCTTTCTTTCCAAATCAAAATCCATATTAATTTTATTTATTTATTTATTTTTTAAACTAATAGTTTACTTTTTCCTAATACTTCAAATTAAAATAAAGTCAATGTATAAAAATAAATAAAATAAACTATAAAAATTCTTAAAAAACATCATTTTTAATGCATTGAATAGAAAAGTTATAATAGATAATATTGTGCTAGATTTATGTCATATTGAGAGAATAAGTTTTTATCTATTTTTTATAAAAATGAATCAAAGATAATAATAAGTAGATGCAATAAAACTTTATTTTATTTTACAATCAACAACATAATTTTTTAATATTAATTCTTGAATGATTGATTTAAAAATTACGTATATATCAATATATATATATATATATATATATAAGATAATATTAAATAAACCTATGCTTTTACTAAATAGACCCATCTTTTATAAAGAATATGGCATTCATGATGAATGTGATTGGTTTTTATTGGTTGTAGATCCAATAATAGAGAAATGAATCTAAAAATCATTACTTTTTTTTCATAATGGTTAGAATGAATGGGTCGATTTTTAAAAACCTAGACCTATTTAATATTCCTATATATATATATATATATATATATATATATATTTAATCAATTATTTTTTGATAATAAATTATTTATGAAAAAAATACTTAATTGCAATAAGAATTGATAATGTTTATAGAAGCATTAAAAATAGTCATTCTTACAGTATAATAGTTTATTATTTAATTTATATTTTTTTATATTTAAATATTTTTGATTATTATTTAATAGTGTCTTTGTGAATTCTTATCATTTAAGTTAAAAACATGAATTCAATCATTTTTTTTTGTAGCTTCTTATTAAGATACACTAATATCAAATTATAAATTCTAATTTTTAAAATAATAACAAAAATTAATCAATTTTTTTGTAGCTTCTTATTAGGATTTTTTAAAGTTGAATAAACTGATTGTGTAACTAGTATTTTTAATTATTTATTTTGAAATGGTTATAAGAATTAATTTACTTCAATTAAATATTGTGTCATGAATAGATTACGTAAAAAATGTTTTTATTATCACTATAAAAAAAATAATTCAAATGTTTGATAATACAATGCTATTTTAAAATAGAAATTCCATGTTTATAAGAATATTAGTTAAGCCTTGGATTGCAGATCCTTTATTTGTAACTCTTTTATATAATTATCTATAAAAAGATTAAAATATGAAAATATGTTTTTGTAATATCATCTATAGCATTCAACATATTAATTGTATTATATGGATACACTTCAATCACAATATAAATACCAATATCTTTTATATATATATATATATTTTTTTTTTAATCTATTATATATACAATGAAGTTCCAAGATGCAATGAAGTAAGAGAAGGCCATAAAAGACGAGTTTAATCTCTTATGAATAATACTTTATGGAAATTGGATCTTTTTCTAACAAATTTATCTATTGCTAGTATTGATTTTAATGAGACTTTTGCACCTTTTGTTAAATTTACATGTATATTAATCATTATAACAACTATGGCATTAATAGGCTTCTAAATATACCAAGTGGATGTGAAGGTAATCTTTTTGAATAAAAAATCGCAAGAAGATAATTACTTAGATTAAATTTACTGATCTATATAATAAGGCAAAAAACACCTTGTGTACAAGTTTTAAAAATCTAAATAAAGGTTGAAACAATCACCAAAAGTATGATATAAACAAATTAATACATTCTTTGTCAATGAAGCATTTGTAAAGAGCAAGATTGATTATTCCTTATATGTGATGCAATCTAAAGAATTATTGTTAGTTGTAATATTTTATGTTGATAATTTAATCATCTTAGCCAACAATATAATGAAAATGGATTAAATAAATGCCATATTAGAAAAAAATAAAAATAAAATGAGTGATTGAGAAGAATTCTAGTATTACCTTGATATTGAATTTGTAAGAAATTGTAATAATTGTACCATCACAATGAGCCAAAGCAAGTACATTGATAAGATATTAAAATAATTTAATATGAAAGAACAAAAATTGATTGTGAGTTCTATTAATAGATATTAATTGGTAGATTTATTAAAAATATAGTTTTAAGTTATTTAATTAAATAATTACTAAGATAAAAGAGCTTTTTATTATTTATATATTTATTAAAATTTATGAATATTTATAAGTTACAACAGTCTTATTAAAAGAAAAATTAAAAAAATAGAATTTTAATAAATTTTAGATGCAATTATCTTATTTGATTTAATACTTTTACTTATTGTTAAGTATTAATAAATAATTATTAAGATCAATATTTGCATTGGTTTTATATCTATGTTTATTATTTATAAAAAAGCCAATTAATATTAGTTAATAGTTAAAAGAAGCATAAGAAAGAATTTCATGTTTTTTTTAGTTATTTATATGATAAATAGAATTTTCTATTGATTTAAATTAATTTTACTATTAAAAAAATTAAGATATGAAAATATAGTCTTAAATTTATATTAATATTATAAAAATAGTATAATAATTTTTTGAGTTTATTTGGAAATTATTTAAAATTTATTAGAAAATTTTAGAGGAGATTTCAAGACTTTGATAAAATTAAGTTCTAACACCTTAGAAGCTATTATGAAGAAATAGAGCAAGTTTTAAAGGCCATATAAGGTTTTTAAGCTAATTGGATGTTTTTAAATACCATATTGAAGTCAAAAATACAAAAAAGTAGTCCTACTAGAACAAAATAGGAAAATCAATAGCTAATATAATTTTTATAGAAAGAGAGGTGGATAAGTCTTATATGGATTATTATACCTTGGATGTAGTTAGAAGGATAAGACTAAGTCCTCAAGGCCACTTTAGAACATCCATATACACTACATGTGAGCCTTATTAGGCTGAAATTTTTGATCTATAAGCAAGTTACCTTTGAGCTAAAATATCTGTATTTATTTTTTTAATAATTTACTTGCCATCTTTAAATCTTTATCACTTATTTATAATAATTTGAATTTATATTTTTATTATGTTATTAAAGAATTTATTTTTATTTTTATTTTTATTTTCTATTAAATAAAAATCTAATAAAATTTTATAGTATATAATTGCTTGAATACAATCATTTCACTTATTTTGTGTTTATTTATTTGTTTTTCTTTTTCTTATTATTTTCTTGTTTCACTTTACATTGCTAATTAAAAATAATTCTTAATTGAAGCCATCTTATAATTTGGATTAGATTGAAATTTATCCTTTCATCAATTGCAACACCTCGTGAAG